GTAGTATCACGCACACACACAGCATAACTGCAGTACAAACAGAGGCGGGGCCTGGAGGCCGCATGCAGGGGGACGGGCCGACACAGTCATTACAAATCAACTCAGCAGCTGTCAGCGTCCACGCATCTCTGGTGGAAACAATTTTGCTGCCGGTAACTCACTAGAGTCATGTGCGCTAACACAAGGAAGTGGTGCAAAATGAGGCATTACCAGCCAGGCAATAGGGAACGACTGCTCCAAATCTATGAGATTTACCCTTGAAATGAACAAACTGAAAAAACCGTCTCTTTGCCATTTGCTGTTCATCAGGTTGCGGCAATAAAATTTTATTTTGTTTACCCACCAGAATCTCAGATACTGCAAGAAGAATGATGTTATAGAAAGGAAAGAACAAATGACAGGAAAAGGCTTGCTTAAAGGCTCAGAGGAAAGCCAGGTGGAACTGAATTTGGCTACAGAAGGCTGGGGTCTGGGTGGACACTGACACTAAGGCCACTCTGAGGTCATGGATCTTTGTACCTTTTTAAACCTCAGACAAAAGGGAACAGTGATGTTCATGCTTCTGAATTACTGGGCCTGTTGACAGGGTCACCCAGGGTAAGGCACATAAAGAGTTTGAAAAAAAATATAAAGGACAATGATGATGATGATGAGACTAATAAGAATCACAGCATGTTAACCCTGATTGAGAGAATTTATAGGTTGCTATAAAGTCACTGTTGTCAGAAAAGTCACTGTTCTATTTCACAGGTGCTATCTGCTGTACCTCACCACAACATCACCCATACTTTCAGATAAAGAAAGGGAAGCACAGAGAAGTTAAGCAACTTGACTAAAGTTGTACAACTGGTCAACAGTGGGACTAGAATTGAATCTGATTCCAGGGCTCATGCCCCTGACTGTAGATAGACTAGAATATGAGGCAATGAGATTAATATCCACAGTGATATAAAGTGAATGCTTTTATCAGAAAATCCCACAGAAAACACAAACCTATGCACTACTATGTGCAAGGAAGTTTTCGTTTTAGCCCATCTCTTCTCTTCCCAACATCCAAGCAGTAAACATTTTTTGCATCTCAACTACATCAGACATGATTTGGGGCTTGGGGAATCCCAGCCTCTGAAGCCTCTGCTCTCCTATAGCTTACGTGCTAGTGAGGAAAGTCAGTCAACAAACAACAGAAACAGCAGACAGCAGTAAGTTCAAGAATCAAAGTAAAACAGGAGGTTGTGGTGACAGGTGAGAAGTGGGGACTAGACTGGTCCTTCCCTCTGCAACTATCTATCTTTCTATCTATTTTTATTTTTTTGAGACGGAGTTTCACTCTTGTTGCCCAGGATGGAGTGCAATGGTGTGATCTTGGCTCACTGCAACCTCTGTCTCCAGGGTTCAAGCGATTCACTTGCCTCAGCCTCCCAAGTAGCTGGGATTATAGGCATGTGCCACCACGCCCGGCTAATTATGTATTTTTATTAGAGATGGGGTTTCTCCATGTTGGTCAGGCTGGTTTCGAACTCTCAACCTCAAGTGATCCACCCCCGTCTCAGCCTCCCAAAGTGCTGGGATTACACCATGAACCACTGTGCCCGGCCTTTATTTATTTCCTTTTTTGAGACAGAGTCTTGCTCTGTTGCCCAAGCCAGAGTACAATGTGCCATCTTGGCTCACTGCAACCTCCACCTCCTAGGTTCAAGTGATTCTCCTGCCTTAGGCTCCCGAGTAGCTGGGGCTACAGCCACCATGCCTGACTAATTTTTGTATTTTTAGTAGAGATGGAGTGTCACCATGTTGGCCAGGCTGGTCTTGAACTCCTGACCTCAAGTGATCCACCCACCTTGGCCTCCCAAAGTGCTGGGATTACAGGTGTGAGCCACTTATTGAGTGCAAGTCCTGTGTTAGCTGCATGTGTGCTGATGGAGAAAGACGCTAGTGTGATGGAGGCACATCGCCTGCTCTCGGGAAACTGCAGACTGTTGGTGTGGCCTTGGGGTACCAGCAGTCAGGAGTTCCTTGAGAGCAGGCTCAGGGGCCCTCCGGCCTCAGGGACCCTCTGTTTCTTTCCCTATAAAATGAGGCTTTTGCTCCAACAGTCTGTGACTTCTTTTTATTAAGTCAGGAAGTCACTTAGGCAACTCTTAACCCAGTTATTAGATGTAATGGAAATAATAAATGCTACAGTAGACGTATTCTCTACTTTGGAATATTCCTGAGGGAGAAGAGGGACTGTTTAACTGGATCTGAACAGGTTTTAGCTGTAACAATATTTATTTAAGCACTTGGGTGCTTATCATATAATATTATATTTTTAGTTAGACATTTTCCATCTCTCCTGGGGGGTGAATATGGTGAAAGGAACTTATGATAAAGCATGGAGATTTAAAGTCAGAACAAGGGATGGGCTGGGTGCAGTGGCTCACACCTGTAATCTCAGCACTTTGGGAGTCTGAGGCGGGTGGATCACTTGAGTCAGGAGTTTGAGACCAGCCTGGCCAACAAGGTGAAACCCCATGTCTACTGAAAAACAAAACAAAACAAAAAGTAGCCAGGAGTGACGGCGCACACCTGTGGTCCCAAGTACTCAGGAGGTTGGGGCAGGAGAATCACTTGAACCCGGGAGGTGGAAGTTGCCGTAAGCCGAGATTGGGCCACTGCACTCCAGCCGGGGTGACAGAGGGAGGCTCCATCTCAAAAACGAACAAAAAACAAAAACAAAAAACAAGGGAGGGTTGGGGACTCATACAGGAAGCAGGACATTGAAGAAAAGCAACAAAAGGGGATTCTTTTCTCCTGGAGACCTTAATGCACCAAAAAAGTAGTATTTTGGTATGGACGTACACGGAAGTCGATGGATAAAGCTGGCTTACCATTGGGCTTGCTTGGCCCCAGGAAGCTCTGATACTGACAGAACGTAGTTTGGAATCATGCACCTTCACATTCTGCCTCCATTACGCCCTGCCACCAGGGCAGCACAAAAGCTAGGCCACTTTCTGCTTGCATTTCAGGCTAGTAATTTGCACTAAGAGAAGATACTTTAAAAGTACCATGGGGAAGGCCGACGACAGGAATGGAGAAAGTCAGATGCACCAGAGGAGTAAGAAGCAACCCACAAAACAGTGAAATCTGAAAGATGTGCTAGAACCCAGAAATACAACCTGCCTTGTAGAAGAACACGCATGAGGCATGTAGAAGCCCTACAGAAACACGGTGAATGGGCTGATCGGCAGATTACAGGAGCACTTTGACTATCAGGATGGATCCTTAAAGTAGAATGTTACGTGATTTAATCATCTGGCCTGCCAGATAACACCTGCCTGAATCAATAAGACAACCTGACATAGACAATCACTGTTGATGAGTGTAGCAAGATTGGAAGTGACAGTCTGTTATTTCACTTAAAGCACTAACAGCGGGAGAGTGGTCTTCAGACTGAGAGAGAAGAGAGAAAGGGGGAAGACGAAGAGAAGCCACACATGCAAGTTCCATGTAAAATAGCAAAGGCCAGGCATGGTGGCTCACGCCTGCAATCCCAGCACTTTGGGAGGCCGAGGTGGGAAGATCGCTTGAGCCCAGGAGTTTGAGACCAGCCTGGGCAATGTAGTGAGACCCTTTTTGTACAAAAATACAAAAATTAGCTAGGTGTGGTGATGTACACCTGTGGTCTCAGCTGCTCAGGCGGCCAAAGCGAGGATCCTTTGAGTCTAGGAGGTCAAGGCTGTAGTGACCTGTGTTCATACCACCGTACTCCAGCCTGGGCAACAAAGCAAGACCCTGTCTCAAAAAATATATATAAACATACGTATTAAAATATGTATATAATATATATTTTAAAATGTATGTTTATATATATTTTTTG